AGCTCTTCAGCTCAAGGCTAGCGCTCTACCACTTAAGCCACAGTGCCACTTCTGGCTTTTTTCTTTTTGCTTATGTGGTGCTGAGGAATCGAACCAGGGCCTTGAGCATGCAAGGCAAGCGCTCTACCACTGAGCCAACTTCCCAGCCCCTCACAGATCTTTTTTATTGTTAATTTTTTATTATTATTATGAAGGTGATATACAGAGGGGTTAGTTTCATCAGTAATGAATATATTTCTTTTTGGAAAATGTCACCCCTTCCTTTGCTCTCTCCCATCCCCTCCCACATTTTCAACATAGTGTCTACTGAGTACCACCTTTGTTCCTACATTTCTATGCTGCTCCTTGCCCCAAACAGATAAACAAGTCAAAAAAAAACAAACAAACTTATTTCCATTACTCGTGGATTATTAAAGGCAACACAAACGTCTATGGAAAACTATTTTTTAAAACTAGAATTTACATACACATTGATTGAAGAAATCCAGGTCCAGGAAGTTTTCTTACAGATACACTCATGTATGCAATGTGTTTAATGATACTCATCAGAGCAATGGTTACATAACACAAAAACTGAAGAGGAAGTCATGAGAACCTCTGGCTTACAGCCCAGCAGAACAGAAGATGTGGGTATTCTGAGGACCCACCATTTCTAATTACATATATATGAAGCACAAAGAGATTATAGCAAACACTTCACCTTTAATCTGCGTACCCATGTATTAATTCTGGATAGTTTGAGAGCTACATTAAACTATAGGTCACCTAGACCTGAAGAACAACTTGGTATGGAAAACTTGACATAGGGTGTCAGAATTTTTTTTTTTTTTTTTGGTCATGGGACTTGAACTCTGGGCCTGGGCGCTGTCCCTCAGCTCTTCAGCTCAAAGCTAGGGCTCTACCACTTGAGCTGCAATGCCACTTATGGTTTTCTGGTGGTTTATTAGAGATAAGAGTCTCATGGACTTTCCTGCCAAGGCTGGCTTTGAACCGTGATCCTCAGATCTTAGCCCCCTGAATAGCTAGGGTTACAGGCTAAGCCACCAAGCACCTTGCAGAAATATTTCTGAATGGGGCTGGGAAGGTGGCTCAGTGGTAGAGCGCTTGCCTTGCATGCATGAGGCCCTGGGTTCAATTCTTCAGGACCATTATAAGCAAAAAGAAAAAAGCCGGAAGTGGCATTGTGGTTCAAGTGGTAGAGCGCTAGCCTTGAGTTGAAGAGCTGAGGGACAGCACCCAGGCCCAGAGTTCAGGCCCCACGACCAGACGACCCCCCCACCCCGCCCCTGCCAAAAAAAAATGAAATATTTCTGGGTATAAAGAAAGCTTTCCTTTTTGATAACTCCAAGAGTGAAAATATCACTCAAGAATGTAAGTTCTTTACAAATGTACAAAATTCTAACTCTAAAAAGTTGAGTTTAACTACTGGAATAGCATGGGTCAATAGCTTCCTGGGGCCGGGAAGGTGGCTCAGTGGCACGCATGAGGCCCTAGGTTCGATTCCTCAGCACCTCATAAGCAGAAAAAGCCAGAAGTAGTACTATGGCTCAAGTGGTAGAGTGACAGCCTTGAGCTAAAGAGCTGATGGACAGCACCCAGGCCTAGAGTTCAGGCCCAATGACCGACAAAAAAACAAAAACAAAAAACAAAAAACCTTCCTACCAGGCACCAATGACTCACACCTGCTATCCTGGCTACTTAGGTAAAAATTGTGGTTCAATGCCAGCCTGGGAAGGAAAGTCCATGAGACTCTTATTTCCAATTAACCACTAAAAAGTCAGAAGTACAGCTATGGTTCAAGTGGTAGAATGCTAGTTGTGAGCAAAAACGCTCAGGGAGCTGAGTTCAAGTCGGCTCCACTTTGTATTTTGGGTTTGTTTTTTTGTTTTTTTTGTTGGTCGTGGGGCCTGAACTCTGGGCCTGGGCACTGTTCCTCAGTTCTTCAGCTGAAGGCTAGCACTCTACTACTTTAGCTACAGCGCCATTTCCAGCTTTTCCTGCTTATGTGGTGCTGAGGAATTGAACCCAGGGCCTCATGCATGCAAGGCAAGTACTCTACCACTGAGCCACCTTCCCAGCCCCTCCACTTTGGATTTTGAAATAGGTTTTCCCTAACTTTTCCCCAACCCTAGTAGTGGAATTAAAGACATGTACCACCACATGTAGCTTGCTTTTCTTTGCCAGGTTTTTAAGTTTTAATTCAGATCCCTATACAGTGCACAATCCAGATCCTATTTTAATTGAAATCATAAAAGCATCATATAGCTCAGACTATGACAAATCCAAATCCAGTCTCAGTAGAAAGCAAGTATTATATTCTCAAAGGCATTGCTTTACTGACATGTGTGGCTTAATTTTTAACTTGTTCACCATTTCTTCTCTTCTGTAAGTTTGAATTTTGAAGTAGTTGTCCGTGAATTTTTGATAGTTTATTTTCCTCTGTGGCTTCTAACAATAATATATTTAATATTTTTTAAATTATTTGCTTGCATCTTTATATAGTTATGTATATAAATTCTGACCCTTTCCTAATGAACTCTGAGGTTTACATCTAGTTTACTATAATTCTTCCCCCCTAAATGAAAATTCCTTTATATCTGAATTTTAAATATTTGTAGTTTTGTTTTAGAATGTCAATTCATCTGTAATTTATTTTCATGTTCATTAAGATATGAAATAGAGCATAATTCCACTTTTATCCAAAGGTATACCAAACTAACAACCCATTACTTTTTCATAAAAATACGAGATGTCTCTTTCATCAAATATTAAGTTCTCATATTGAAGACATTTTAGCTCTTAATAGTTTATTAATTTCTATGGTAGCTGCACATAGTAATTAGTAAGCTTAGTATTATTTTCATATATATATATTTTTTTTTTTTGGTTGGTCGTGGGGCCTGAGCTCTGGGCCTGGGCGCTGTCCCTCAGCTCTTCAGCTCAAGGCTAGCACTCTACCACTTGAGCCACAGCGCCACTTGCGGCTTTTTTCTTTTTGCTTATGTGGTGCTGAGGAATCCAACCCAGGGCCTCATGCATGCAAGGCAAGCGCTCTATCACTGAGCCACCTTCCCAGCCCATCTGTGAGACTCTCATCTCCAATAAACCACTCAGAAAACCTGAAGTGGCGCTGGGGTTCAAGTGGCAGAGAGCTCGCCTTGAGCTGAAGAGCACAGGGACAGCGCCCAGGCCCAGAGTTCAAGCCCCACGACCGACCAAAAAAAATTTGAAGATGGAAGTGAAACTATAGCTCAAGTGGTAGAGTGCTAGCCACACAGAGACAGCACCCAGGCCCTGAGTTCAAGCCTCAGGACCAGCACACAAAAAGATACTTTGTCAAAGAAAATATTCCACTTATTTTAATTTCAGTAAATATATTCCAACTCTTAGCCCAACAAAATATACTCAAATTATATTTTCAAATGCTAAATGCTTCAGGATTTAAAAGCATGTTTCAGTTTCTGAAACTAAAGTTTATTGTAAATAAAACAGTAACTCAGTTGTTAAGATTTTATATGCAGATCAGTGCATGGAAAGCAGAATCAGTAGCTATTATTGTTGTAGTACAACATTCATTACTTACAATATCTCCATTCTTTGAACAGAATAAAACTTTTAATTATGAAAATTTCAAAAAAACCCACTGTTAACCCATAAGAAATTCAAATGCTTATTAAACAAAAATTCATTGTCTATCTTGATACATATTTGTGAATTTCAACTTTGTTACTAAGTTTGACTTACAGACCTCTCCCCAATTTAAAAAGAAAACTTACATTTCTCACTGTAGATAATCTGGACCACTGGACTGGGACCATCATTCTGTGGCACTGGATCTATATCAGCCCATTCTGCTCTGTCTCTGAAAATACACTTTTTCTCAGTGATTATATTCAAATACATTAGAAGAAAATAACTCTCTCTGATGATTTTAAAAGTGGCAACAATCAAGGGAAGAGGAAAGTGAAAAAGAAAAAGGAGAGAACAATTTTGAAATATAGTACAACTATATATGAAGATGACATTAGGACCTCAGTGAAAACTGTTAATAGGGAATTCAAAGAAAAGAGAAAGCAACATAGAGGGTTATTCTGAGCAAAATATATGAACCTCTGAAATACAGTGGTGAGCTCCTGCAATTAATACATACTTAAAAAAAAAAAAAGAATGGCCAGGTGCTGGTGGCTCACACCTGTAAATCCTAACTACTCAAGAGGCTCAGATCTGAGGATGGTGGTTTGAAGCCAGTCCAGGAAAGGCCATGTGAGACTCTTATCTCCAATAAACTACTCAAAAAAGCAGGAAGTAGCACTGTGGCTCCTTGAGCAAAAAGCAGTTTAGGGACAATGCCCAGACCCAGAATTCAAGACCTAGCACTGGCAAAAAAAAAAAAAAAGAAAAGAAAAAAGAAAAAGAAAGAAGAATGGCAGGAAAGTAAACTATACTCTGTTGAGTAGATGGGTATTAGTGGGGGAACTGGGCTAACAAGGAAAGAGAATAGGATAAATATAGTCAAAATAGTTTATTTATGTATGAAAACAGAATAGTGAAATCTGTCCAAAACTCTTTTAAGGAGGAATGAGCCAGGCACTGGTGGCTCATACCTGTAATCCTATCTACTCTGGAGGCTGAGATCTGAAGATCGTGGTTTGAAGCCAGCCAGGGCAGGGAAGTCTGTGAGACTCTTATTTTCTAATCACAGAAAAAGCTGGAAGTGGCATTGTGGCTCAACAGGTAGAGTGCTTGCTAGCCTTGAACAAAAAGAGCAGTGCCCAGGCCCAAGCCCCAAAACTGGCAAAAGAAAAAAGGAAAGGAGGGGCTGGGAAGTTGGCTCAGTGGTAGAGTGCTTGCCTTGCATGCCTGAGGCCATGGGTTCGATTCCTCAGCACCACATAAGCAAAAAGCCAGAAGTGGCGCTGTGGCTCAAGTGGTAGAGCGCTCGCCTTGAGCTGAAGAGCTGAGGGACAGCGCCCAGACCCAGAGTTCAGGCCCCACGACTGGACCCAAAAAAAAAAGAAAAAAGGAAAGGAAGGAAGGAAGGAAGGGAGGGAGGGAGGGGAATAAGAAAGAGTGACAGAGAGGTTAAGGCTGACTGGGACACATGTGTACTTATGTGGAAATGTCACAAGAAAACCTGCTCTGGTAAAATTGATGTAGGCTAAAAAAAAACGTCTGTTTATTTTGTTGTTGTTGTTGTTGTTGGTCGTGGGGCTTAAACTCTGGGCCTGAGCACTGTCCCTGAGCTCTTCAGCTCAAGGCTAGCGCTTTTTCTGTTTATGTGGTGCTGAGGAATTGAACCCAAGGCCTCACACATGCAAGGCAAGCACTCTACCACTGAGCCACCTTCCCAGCCCCAAGTCTGCTTTTTTTTTTTTTTAATTTATTTTGGGGTCTGGTCGTGCAGCCTAAACTCTGAGCCTGGGTGCTGTCCCTCAGCCTTCAGCTCAAGGCTAGCGCTCTACCACTTGAGCCACAGCGCCACTTCCGGCTTTTTTTTTCTGGCTTATGTGGTGCTGAGGAATCAAACCCAGGGCCTCAAGCATGCAAGGCTCTACCACTGAGCCACCTTCCCAGACCCTTATTTTTGAGGGAGGAAAAAAAAGGATCATACCTACATTAATACTAGTAATGTATTGAGATATTAATGTAATCATCAGTGAAGTCTTCCTGAACAAGCTTTGCTTCTTGACTCTAAATTTTACTTTGAAAATAAAAATTTTTTTTAAATCCCTTGGATTTGAAAAAGTTAATAAGCTAACAGTTTCAAATTTAAGCCTGTAATCCTAGCTAACCAGGAGGTGAGATCTGAGAATTGTAGTTCTAAGCCAGCCTGGAAAGAAAGGCCATGAAACTCTCATCTCCAATAAAACACCAGAAAACCGAAAGTGGCACTGCAGCTCAAATGGTAAAGTGCTAGCCTTGAGCTAAAGAACTCAGGGACAGTGCTCAGGCCCAGAGTTTAAGCCCCACGAGCCACAAAAAAAAAAAGAAAAAAATTAAGGTTCTGTAAGTGGCAAACATGTTTTTGTAGCAAGTATACAAGTTTGTTGGGTTTTGGGTTATTTTGCAGTACTAAATTGAACTCAATGGCCTATATTGCTAGGCAAGGGCTCTACTTCTTAAGCCACTCCCTCAGATGTTTAGTTTTCAGACAAGACCTAGCACTTTGGGGCAGGACAAAAACTATGATCCTCCTAGCATAGTTGTGACTGCAGATGTTAACTATCATGCCTGTTTATTAAGATGAGTATAACTTTTTGCCTAGAGTAGCAGGGACCACAACCCCTTGATTTGTACCTCCCAAGTAGCTAAGGTTACAAGCATGATCCACCATGTCTTCCTGTAAGTACACAAGTTTTAACTTAGAAATCAATTTCACACAGGGCAACTCAGAGCCAAGTGACTGGTTCACACCTGTAATCCTTCCTTTACAGGAGGTTGAGATCTGAGGATAATAGTTAGAAACTAACCCCGGCAGAAAAGTAAGTGAAGCTCTTATCTTCAATTAACCACCAAAAAGCCAAGAGTAGTGGTAGACTGCCAGCCTTGAGTGGAAAAAAGCTAAAGGACAGTGCGCAGGCCCTGAGTTCCCAGTATATGTACACACATTCTCCTCTCTCTTCCCTCTTCCCTCCCTTCTCCTCTCTCCCTCTCCAGAGTCAGATGTAAAGACCTGAATAGTTTACTGGAAACTGACATTTTAATATCAAAGTAGGGCTCTTTTAGCCATCATGTGCAAAGCCCTGAATTTGATCCCAAGCACCCCACAGAGGGGAAAAACAACAACCTAAATTAATGCAAAAACTACTAGTTCATTGCAGAGTAGAGAGATGATCCAAGAGGTAAAAAACAGAGCAGACTCCGGATGGAGAAGCAACTCAGTGGCAGTGCTTTTCTAGTATGCACTAGAACCTGACAAGCTTTGGAATCTTATGTCTGCCAAAGCAGGAATATTAGCTCTACCACCTAACAGCTTATAGCCTTCAGACAGTTACTTTCTGAGAAGGCTTGTTTCAGTTAAACTTTCTGAGAAGGCTTGTTTCCTCATTTATAAAATGGAAATATCACCAATCAACTTTGGTCTGTTTTGAGGATTGGATGAGTCAACAAATATGAAATACTTAAAACATGAGGAACATACAGTATGTATTCAATGACTACTATTCATTATAGATGCTAAAATAACAGTACAGTGGTCACAATAAGTGATTATATGTTACCCTGTGAATTGCCCAGAGTGAACAAATTAACTACTTTTTTTTTTTTCTGACAGCCATGGGGCTTGAACTCTGGGCCTCAGCTCTTCAACTCAAGATGAGCACTCTACCACCTGAGCCTCAGCACCACTTGCAATTTTCCAGTGGATTTCTGGAGATGAGAGTCTCTTGGGCTTTCCTTCCTGGGCTGGCTTGGAACCTCAATCCTCAGATTTCAGCCTCCTGAGTAGGTCGGACTACAGGCTTGAGCCACAAGTCCGGCTTCTCTTACTTCTTTTCCTCTCATTCACATGTTACATCACTATGCTGGTCAGCTATTGACACTGAAGATTTGTGGAATACAGACAAAAGTGAAATTGGGTCCGGGACACAAGAAGAAATACAGGCAAACAATGACCTCAAGTGTGACACCTACAGCCTGTAGAAGTGGCATGGGAAAGTCATTTAGTAGTCCTTGAGAAATTAGACAGTCATGTAAGGAACCTAACTATTTCTCAATCCAGAGAGAAATTTTAGTCAGTAAAACATTAATCCCAATAAGAAAACTTTATGTGGGGGCTGGGAAGGTGGCTCAGTGGTAGGGTGCTTGCCTTGCATGCATGAGGCCCTGGGTTCGATTCCTCAGCACCACATAAGAAAAAAGCCGGAAGTGGCACTGTGGTTTAAATGGTAGAGCACTAGCCTTGAGCTGAAGAGCTGAGGGACAGCGCCCAGGCCTAGAGTTCAGGCCCCACGACTGGACCCCCCCCCAAAAAAGAAAACTTTATGTAGAAACTTTCATTCATAAAATCCAAGCAAATAAGCTATCTAACAAGTTTAGATAGATCTACAGAAGAAAATAGATTTCTGATTATTTCTTCAAGTTCATGGATGAACTGAGGAATAAGCATTCCTCTCTTAAAGCCAAGAATAAAGTGACGGGACTAGGTGTTGGCAACACTAGGAAAGCGCCAATAGTTACAGCAAGCGGTGTCTTGAATTATAGATGAGACGCTGAAGGATACAGTTCAGTTAACAAATCTTTTTTCAGGCAGGCTTTACAGCCAGACTCCATCCCTGGCTGAAGCTAGGTGCTAAAATACTGTTAAATGAAAACGCCACCGCCCTTAATGATCTTCTACCTTTTTTTTTTTTTGCAGAAAGGTTATTTGCTTATGTGGTGCTGAGGAATCGAACCCAGGGCCTCGAGCATGCAAGGCAAGCGCTCTACCACTGAGCCACCTTCCCAGCCCGATCTTCTACCTTTTTACTAGTCCTCACGCTTCAGTAGAACAACCCGTGGGAAGCCATGTAAGCTGGATTTTAACAGAGCAGATCTCTCACCCTATTTAAATAATTATTTCTTGACAGACTAACCAAACAAGAGTTTGGGGACCACGGAAGGACGCGGGAAATTTCTTAAGACTCTCAAGACACCTAAGTAGTCCAAAGCCACTGTCACCGGCGTTCAGCAGTGTCCACGCTGCTCACCGGCTGGCGGGGCTGGCGGGGCCGCCGAGCCCTCGGGTCCCCAGCGCCACCCGCTCCGCCGGCCCAGGCCTCCCGCGCCCGGCCGGGCCTAGGGGGCGTTACCTGTACAGGACGTAGGTGGGCGAGTCCAGGCTCACAAACCCATCGTCCACTGGGGAAACCACTGCTTCTCCGGCCTCCGCCGCCATCTCTTCTCCCAGCAGCTCCTGGGGTGGCGGTGGGTGCGGCTGGGGCGGCGGCTGCTCGGGCTGGCCAGACTCGCCACCCGTCGCAGCTTCCCCGACTCCTTCGGTGGCAGCCATCACACCACAGCCCGCAGCGGAGGCAGCGGAGGCACCGCCCCCTCCCCCCCCCCGCGCGCGGCCTCACCCTATCCCCGCCCCCTCCGGGACCCACTTCCGTTTTCCTTGGGTCATACCATAGAGAGCGAGCCAGAGTCGCAGGCCAGAGGGCCCAGCTGGTGTCCTGGTCTGGGCGGGCAACGGACAGAGCGGCTCGTGGCGAAGGGCGGAGGAGGTATAGGCGGGCTTCTGAATTCCCTTGCTGATCCTACCGGCCTTCCCAAGGCTTACGGTACCATAGCTAACTACTTCTTTTGTTTTGTAGGGTTTGGGGCTGAATCCTGGGACTTAAGTATGCCAGGCAAATTTTCTAGAGCTACACCGCAGATCCTAGTTGCTGCTGAACACAAACTGACAAGCGGTGCTAGTACTGCTTGGCCAATAGTTCTGACCCAGCCTCTCCCTCCCCAATCCAGTGGGAGCTGGACTCCACTTCAACCGCGGAAGGAACTTCTTACAATATACTGGCCCAGTGCTGAGACTTGTAAGAAATGAAAGGGGAACTTTAGCTTTGTAAAGCAGAATTTCATTAAGCATGAGATTTTTTTTCCTTTAAAACTCAAGCTTGGGATTATACAGTATCTGGTGAAAAGATAGGGAAAAATTACAGGAAATGGACGCCTTTATTTACTACCAGTTATGTGACAGAAGCCCTATAGCAGTAAAAAAAAAAAAAAAGTTCGCTTCGGCAGCACATATATTAGAATTGGAACGATACAGAGAAGATTAGTATGGCCCCTGCGCAAGGATGACACGCAAATTCGTGAAGCGTTCCATATTTTTAGGAAAGGCAATATCTAAAGCATGTAAATTGGATATATGAAGTTCTACTCTTAAAGAGGTGATCTTAGAGTATGGCTAAACATGTATACATGCAATCTATTAAAAGAACTTAATTCAGCTATTAAAAAAAGTCTGCAGCACTGAGTTTATACTTTAGGAAGGGAGATTATGACATGATAACAGGTTAGATGGGGAAAGGAAGTATGGGAAGCAGCAAGCGGAATATGGACATAAGCACTATTATAAGCATAGCTAGGGTTAAAAGCACATGAGCACTGTTTTCTTTAAACCTTACACTCACTTGTCCCGGGAGAGGGGGGGGGGGGAGAGAGAGACATCAGGAAGGGAAAGCCTGATGGTGCAGAGCTGGGCAGGCCTCCTCAAGTAGCCATTTTGGGCCTCCTGGAGGAGCCATTTGAGACCTTCCTTTAGAGAGGCCTGTGGAGAGGCACTGCCCAGAACAGAGCAGGGCAGTCCTGTGGAGAGTGGGAAGGCCTGCAGAGAAGGAGGAAGGGAAGAAAAGGAAAAGCTCCCCTTTGGAGCTTTGGAGGTCTGAGGTTTAGCGGTTTGCAGACCAACAAATTGGTGATTTGCAGACCAACTAATAAAGGTCTGAGCTGCCTACTGGAGGCTTGGAGGTTTGGTGGTTGAGGCTGCTCTTGGTTCTGGGTATCTAGTCCAGGACAAGGTAGTCTGGTATAGTGTAAATTAAAAAAAAAAAAAGTCACTTTTAACTGTGTCTCCATGGATTGTCCCACTCTTTAGAGGTCATGATTCTAGTCTACCATGGCAGAGCCCCATCTGCCTCTAGTCCCTTCTACTTCCTCCTAAACCTCTAGGTTACAAGAAAATCACCTCAGACAATAGCCATCGGCTACTTACTTCTTCCTTGTAAGAAGGGGTCTTGCTGGTGCCTTTAGGGCAATAAACCTTTCTTTGTTCTCTGTGTAGAGTTGCACTTGTCCCTACCTCTTGGCTAAGTCTCCACCCAGTATCTGTTATCTAGGTAACTGGCAGACCTGGAAGCAGTCACCTTCCCCCTCCTGCTATGTCACAGCCTGGGCCACCTCTGATCACATGCCTCCCAACTGACCTTAGGAGGGTCCTAGACCCGATAAAATACTCTAATAGTGTATCTTTGTGGGGTTTTTGTTGTTTTTTTTTTTTGGTCCTAGTCGTGGAGCCTGAACTCTCTGGGCCTGGGCACTGTCCCTCAGCTCTTCAGCCCAAGGCTAGTGCTCTACCACTTGAGGCACAGCACCACTTCCGTTTTTTTCTGCTTATGTGGTGCTGAAGAATCGAACCCAGGGCCTCATGCATGCAAGGCAAGCAGCACTCTACTACTGAGCCTGCTTCCCAGCCCCTGTCTCGTGTTTTTATGGCTGGTGCTTTTACTCAGAAAAAGCCAGAAAGTGGTGCTATGGCTCAAATGGTAGAGCACTAGCCTTGGTGTCCAGGCCTGAGATCAAGCCCTAGCATTGGCCCCCCCAAAAAAAGAAAAGATTTCTCAAGCCACAAAAAGTTTACAAATTGCCCAAACCCACCAACTATTTAAACATCTCCTTCATAATTGTAAGGTCTGCCCCAGGCCAGGCAGTCACAGTGTAGACACCTCCTTACCTCTGGGCTAAGTTTCCTCCCAGTATCTTTGTTACCTAGGTAACTGGCACACAGGGAAGCAGTCACCTCCCCCTCCTGCTAGTTTACATCCTGGGCCACCCATGGTCATGCCTCAGGGTCCCAGGCCCTGAGGTCACATCCTGATCTAGTGTGGCCACACCTTTTCCCCTACCTGGTCACACTTTTTCCTGTCCCTGGCCTAGATAAGTTGGGGGAAGGGAGGAGGGCCCCTTTTTTGGCCACGCCTCGCCACTGCCACCGTGCACATCAGGGGGAGTAGTTCGGTAAATGAACTTCTTTTCCTGCCTGAATAACACATGGTGTGCTCTTCATCTGCTACCTAATGAAACCTATATATTTAATATACCTTACAATAATGACCCATACTTAGTAAGTGGATTAACTTTGGCATCTCTGAGCCCAACTAATAACACAGTGTACAAAAAGAATGACTAAACAAACCTAGCATGGAAAACACCTGAGACAAACTGGACCTACAACTCCAATCAGCTTTTCCACCATAAATCCCACCTGCTGTTAGAGCTCAAGGAGTGCCTGTTATCAGATGTGCCCACACCCAGGATTGAGTTGTTTGCAATCTCTTATGTTTGTTTTGCTTTACTAATAAGCTTTCTTGGTCTCACCCTGAACCCATCCTATTTTTGTTACATCAGGAACTAGGAACCACTTCATAAAGTTGGTATTCAAGGGGTAGTTGGGGCCTCCTCCCTTCCAGGACCTCCTCCTTGTAGCTTCCTCATTCTGCTAACAATAACTTTATCTTCAACAAATAGTAACTGCAATTAAAGATAAAGCTTGTTGTTGAAAGAATACAAATATTTGTGTGTAGATGTCTTTATAGGTAGGATAATGGGGAAAGCTTTCTTAAGGGCTGTTTGAGCAAAGATCTGAAAAAGGCAAATGCTTCTAGTTCAGGGGCACTGGAAATGTGAATAAGGGAGTTAAGAATTCATAGGTAGGCTGGGAATGTGACTTAGTGGGAGAGTGCTTGCCTAGCATGCATGAAGCCCTGGGTTCAATTTCTCAGTGCCACATAAATAGAAAAAGCCAGAAGTGGCTCTGTGGCTCAAGTGGTAGAGTGCTAGCTTTGAGCAAAAGAAGTTCAGAGACAGTTCAAGCCCTGGGACTTGCAAAATAGAGAGAGAGAATTAATAGGTATATATGAAGGATTGAACCCCATCCTATTGTCCCAGGCCCATGCAGATGTCAGGCATAATCCCAGGTAGTGTGAACTCGTTTGAAGTGCAGACAGGACAATCCACCTAAGCCCAGCTGTATACATCTGAGGAGCCTAAGGCCTGGGTGACTCCATCTTGAGCTAGTAGCCATCTTCTGAGGTATGAGTTATGCAGCTGACCATGAGCCCAACCTGGGAATGAACAGAAAAAAACAATTCCCGGGAGACTAGGGACATAAACAATCCTTGGGAAAACCGCAGGCAGGTGCTGGAGGGCCAGGTGACCCAATAGTCAGACCACAGATGGTGTTTGTTTGAGAAAGGAACCATGCAGTTCAGCACGTTTCTCCTTGAGACTTCCCTGTGGTGGGAGCCAACCAGTTTAAAGTACGTCAGCCCCTTGATCTAACTAACAACCTGTTTCTGATCCTTTTCTACTTTGTAGCCTACCAATTATACTATAAAATTGTTTTATGACTTTCCCGCAATGTGTAGTGATATGTTACAAGATGCTATGATGTATGCAAAGTCCCTGCCCTCCCTAAAAAGTGTATAAATGTTAGGTTTTTAAAAAGAGGTAGACCGAGTAAGAACAGCAGCACTCACGTGGTATTCAGGTAAGGGGTAGGTTTATTCAGTAGACCTGCTGGGACCAGGCAAGGCTGGCACTCCACGTGGCTGGCAAAAGAGAGAGGAAAAAAAGGAAAGAGAGAGGAAAGAGCTAGAAAAGAGCAGAGAGAGCAAGAAAAGAACAGAGAGAGAGCTAGAATAGAACAGAGAGAGAGAGAGCCTGGGCCTGCACAAGGCCTTATCTAGGGTATAGGCGGAGAAAGGTGTGGCCACATCAAATTCAGATGTGACCTCAGCGGCTGCAGATGTGACCTCTTCCAGGTGTCCCAGTTGCCTAGGTAATGCAGGTATTGGGCGAGGTCTGTTCGCCGTCCAGGAATGGACCTTACAATAAAAAGTGCTGTAACCCTGGGCTCAGGGCCTCTTAGCGTCACCAGTTACCTGGTGCGAGGAGGACCAAGCTCGAGCTTGCAATAAATGACTCTTTTGCTGTTTAAATTGATCTTGGTCTCTGGTGGTCTTCCAGGGGTTGCGAGGCCGAGTACAACACATCCCATTGTGAGCTCAACTGAAAGGCCCCCCATCTTCCTTAACCTAGGGGCTTTTTCATTAACCTCTGCCTCCTTGCTCAGACCTCCTGTAGAAACCCAGCTCCTGTCCCAACTTGGGGGCACAACCTCCAAACCCACGGGAAGGTCTGTACCCCTAGCTGTTCCTCAATAAGCAGTCCTCCCCTGTTGACCCAGTCCGGCCTATTCCTTTTCTGTTCTTTATTTTCCTAACATATGGTGCTGACACCCAGGAGAGGAAAAGCGCCAGGA